ACAATACAAGCATGGGCTGGAAACACAAAGACAATTGGCTCTACATCTCACCAGGTGGGAATGCGGGAAAGCTCACTCCTCCCCTTTCACCCTGAACCCCTCTTCCTGACCTTTTCTTTACCTTCTCCATCAGAGCAGATCACTCACGTTTCACATAAAATGTCCAAGTTTTTAACAGGATGTATCGTGTAGCTCTATATTCATATATGGTATCATTTTAAATGTCTAAGTGTGATTGGTAAAGTGGTCCTAATTTCACTATAATATTTTACAATTTATCTTGTATATGTTGATCTAGCTTTGATAAAATATTTATATATATATATATATATATATATATATATATATATATATATATATATATATATATATATACATATACATACTCACACAAACACACAATTACTATGCTTACTATGTTCTGAAACATCCTAAAACATTAAGACTCCCGTTTTCTTCCATTTTTTTACAGTTCTATCCCACAATAATAATCCCGTAAAGGTATTTTCCCATATTTTTTAATCTTTCTCTAGAGGAGTGTAAATAAACATTAAAGAGCCAATCCTCCCTATACACAACCAATTCTGCCGAATCACCAGGAGCTGCCCCTCACTCTTAAATGTGAGTCCGTTCTGTGCTTTCACTTTGTTTAGGCATGAAAACAATTTGAAATAAATATAAAAACGGCGGGATCCCCATTCCTTTTCATTACAGGTGCCATCTCGTCTTCATATGCAATCCTAAAAACAGTCATATAGCGTTGCATGACTATCAGCTGACGCACTCCATAGTGATAAATAGACGCTGTTTCTCAAGCAGATTCTGTACACTCGATTTGAAGCGGAGCAAAAGTCTGGGTCTTGGGTGTGCGTTTGAACAGACATATACACATAATTGATAATAATAACATCTAAATATGTTGATCTTGGTGTTTTTTTTTTCATTTTAACACAACTAATCCTAAATGAGCATAACAAGTTAGGAAAGCAATCGAATGCTTTCATTATAACATTAGATCTGCATTTTTAAAGCGACACGTCTTTTTTTTTTAATGTAATCAAACAAAAAATCTAAATAATTAAGATTCATTCATTGCTCTGTAATCAGAATGTATAAGTTATACAGTCAAGAAAAGGTTTATGATAGTAGTCATATTACTGGCAATTTAACTGTTTATTTTCAACGGAACCGCTCCAAATGAACATATTTCACATAGCAATGTTGACAGCTATGCCCCAACACCCCACTAAAGTTAGATCCTGTAATGGATCCATAAGCACAAGACCAGTTCTGAATTAAAGAATGCTCTCAGATAAAGTGCAAAATGGAAATAAGGAAACATATGTACACACTTTAGCATTCAAGCTGGCTGAGTGTTTATTTAAAAGGAAGAGAAAGTGTGTTGCTCCTGAGAGATGTGCACATGTGTCGTCTGAAAGGACACAACAGATAACGCACAGACATAAGGCCACGACAGATGGAACAAGTACTGATGTGGCTGCTGAAGGAGTCCTGGGGTTTCACTGAGGAACATGAAAAATCCTTTTATATGACAGGAAACAGTTCCCTGCGTATCATAATGAGGCAAAGAGGGTGCATGGGAGAGAAGTGACAGCATGTGCCGCACCAGACAATCCACACCGAACTGCATGAAAGCATTCGGGTCACAGTGAGTGCAAAGTCCCCTCCAAGGTTTCTGTGAATGTGTGGGAACTCTGGGTGGATATGCGAAGGAAACTCAGTTGAACTGAAGAATACATTCAGTGGTTTAATTGACCTTTTGCAAATCCCTGCCCTCTTCTCTTTCAAGCTCCCAGTTTCAGCCTTGGCCCTCTCCTATGAATTTGTGCTTTCCCCAGGGAAATAGAGAATGATTTCTGGAAAAATGACGAACCTACTGATTTCAGACAGAAGCAGACATAAAGGTCTGAACAAAGAACATTTTCAGGATGTGACTGTAACTCGAAATAAGAAAATAAATAAATAAATAAATAAATAAATAAATAAATAAATAAATAAATAAATAAATAAATAAATAAATAAACTAAGATTGAAGCCACAGCCTACAAGTCATGTGATGGGAAGTTGGGATTATCATTCATTCATTTATTTCCTTTTCAGCTTATGTTATTTTTTACGTAGCGAATGCCCTTCCAGCCGCAACTCAAAACTGGGAAACACCCATACACTCTTGAATTAACAAACATACACCACGGCCAACTTAGCTTATTCAATTCACCCATACCACATGTCTTTGGACTGTGGTGGAAACCGGAGCACCTGAAGGAAACACACACAAACATGGGGAGAACATGCAAACTCCACACAGAAATGCCAACTGACCCAGCCAGGGATGAACCATTCAACCGAGTGTGCGGCCGTGATGCCAAGTTTAGATTATTTGAATATTATTAAAATGTTACAAATTGATTCACGAACGGCGAGGCAGTGGCGCAGTAGGTAGTGCTGTCGCCTCACAGCAAGAAGGTCATTGGGTCGCCGGTTCGAACCTCGGCTCAGTTGGCGTTTCTGTGTGGAGTTTGCATGTTCTCCCTGCCTTTGCATGGGTTTCCTCAGGGTGCTCCGGTTTCCCCCACAGTCCAAAGACATGCGGTACAGGTGAACTGGGTAGGCTAAATTGACCGTAGTGTATGAGTGTGAGTGTGAATGTGTTTGTGGATGTTTCCCAGAGATGGGTTGTGGCTGGAAGGGCATCCGCTGCGTAAAAACTTGCTGGATAAGTTGGCGGTTCATTCCGCTGTGGCGATCCCAAATTAATAAAGGGACTAAGCCGACAAGAAAATTAATGAATGATTCACGAACACATAATTCACAAACAAACAGTCTCTTCACAAACAAGACAATAATGCATCTATGAAATTATAAGAGACAGTAAAGATTGAGTCATTGTTTATCTGGGTCTTCAGGCTATGCGGTTTAAAGATTAAATATACTGCATTGATTTAGTTAGTTAAATGGTTCCCGACTATCTACATGCATATCTACATACAAAGGTAAGTGTGTGCCTTAGGTAAATAAAATACTAATCTCCAGAAATGGTTTTATATGCTAATGCAATGGTTTAAAAAAATTTTTCTAAGTTTTTTAGAGTACCACCTCAGTAAAGTACTGTCTTTCCAAGTACCACCATAATAAGCAGTACTTAAGTACAGTAGCGTAGTAGGCCCAATAAAGCAGCTACAGAACTGCAGCTAAAAAATGAGGCAGATTAATAAATATAAAAAATATTTATTATTGTCAGCCATTTTAAACATTATAAAAAGTTAGAACATTAACACTGTACTGTGTTATATGTAGAAAACAAACAAAAAAATAAAAAATAAAAATAAAACGTTTAAATTAAAATATGCTTTTAAAAGTTCAAAATGAAAGGTTACTGTTCAAAAAAAGTAAAAAAAAATAAATATTCTGTACATAAATGTAAAGTATTACTGTTGCCTGGACCCTGGAAATATAAGCTATATGTCATCATATTCACATATAAATCATTTTTGATAAATTTCGAAATATATGTAGCATGTACATATGACATCTTTGATTCATCCGCGTATCACTAGAAGGAAGCCCATGTACCACTAGTGGTACATGTACCACAGTTTGAGAACCACTGTGCTAATTTATTACTTCATACTCTAGGGATAATCATAGGGAGTCATGAGCTTCAGATTGACCATAGATGGAATGGTTGTGAATATTAATGAGCTTTACACTAATGCAGCTCTCAGTGTTTTAACTAGTATCTAGTGTTCACTAGCATCTAGTGTTTTCAAAATAAAAAGTCCCACATGTATAGTAATTCAAAACAGCCTGAGGTATGCATGTTAAGGATCCTGCATTTACATGCGGAGCAAAAATCTGAGTAACCTAAAAATTTACCTATGAACCTTGCCTAACAAGCTACAAGTGTTTTCGATGTGCGATTTTATTGGGCTGGAATTACTGATTATTCAGAGAAACTGATTATGCTTCTTGGCTAATCACAAAAAAAAAAAAAATCATAATTAAATAAATAAGATACAACACTAAAAAGCTACATAAGTAAAAGTACTTTTTTATTTATGCCACTTAGTAGTACAATTAGAATCAAAGCGACCACAGTTATTTGTAATTTGTTACTTTACATCAGTGGTAGTACTATATAAATAGAGGTCCTTTGACTCCAAAATAAACCTTGATTGCATATATTTAGTGTGAAAGTGCTCCTTTTATTGTGGGTAAAATAATTAAAAACCAGAAATACATCTTTCTGATCCAAGGATGCTTTCACACCTAGACTTTTGTTTCAAAACCTGTCACGTTTGCATAGTTAGCGCGGTTCGTTTGACATATGTGAATCCAGCAATTGCCCTCAGATCTGCGCCAAGACAATCGCTCTGAGATCGCTTGTATTGAAACGAACTCTGGAGCGGATCGATTGTAGTGAGAAAGTAATACGATCCGAGCCCGGTTAAATCACAGTGTTTTATGGATATGTAACAGGCATACGGCTATATGAAGAGAGAATTATGAGTAGGGCGGGAGTTCATTCTAGACATCCTAAGTCTCCCGAAAGTTTCGAGAGACTCCCGCAAATGCACAGAGACTCACGGATGCCTGCAAATGAGTTATAATCTCCCAGAAATCTTGCATCTCCCTCCCAGTCCTCAAATATGTCGTGCACCCTTGTCACCCCTCCCCACCGCATCCCTCATCGCTCCTCAGCACCTTGTCAAACACCACCAAACTACCAAATAACAGATCTTCTTATTATGTCTTGTGTGTTACAATATGACTTGTAGGAATAGTTTTAGATTTTCAAACGCATAGATTCCATTATACTAATATGCGCTTGCCTCTTGAAATTCTTTTTTTTTCTCCTTAATAATGGACAGTGAGGAAGTATATGACTACCTGTAGTTAAAAATGTACACAATGGACTGAAGTACATGTAAAGAATGTTTGAATTATTGTATGTGCAATCGTATGTGAAAGTATTGTACCTCTGTTTTAGGGACCTCTGCGTATGTGAACTCCACCGTAGGCACTCCAAGCTGATTGGAGAAAAAGTTGGCATCTCCAGGAGTCTGCAGTGAGCTGACACTGGACACAGAGCAACCAGCTCCTCTGCTGCAGCTCATAGAATGTCTCTGAAAAATGAACACACATGCGCGATGATTGTTATTAATCAAGCTATGTAGCCATCCATAGTTGCCAAAAAATGTGGAGCTTTGAAAATTAACACCACATTTAATATCATGTTTAAGAATCTTCTTGAATTTAAGAAAAATCCCCATTTTGTGGCTAGCACAATTTACTTTAACTAGGGAAATCACTGTAGCTCGTTTGGCAATGTTTCCACTGAATGGTGGGGCCATTTTCACTGTCAAAAGGCGTACCGAACTAAACCGTACAATATCACTTTTTCAGCACCTTTCCGAAAGGGTATCAAAAGGCGGAGATCTGCCCGAGCTTACGCAACAAGCCAGAATGAAAATAAAAACCTGCCATATTTAAAATACACACACAGCCGAGAGATTACAGCAGAATTATATATACATATAATAACGAGCCATGGCCGATCCGGGCTCAAACAAACCTTGTCGTCGTCTTGATGAACAGCCACAAAGCCATGGAGTAGAGCAGAATCTACCCTGTGCCTCATAGTTTTTTTACGAGCCAGTCTGAAGCGCGAGCGCTTTAGCTTTTTTGATTGCGCCCGCCGCGTGTCTGTATCAGAATAACAAACTTCTTGAGCTGACGATAATATTGTGCGCTTGATTATTGATGTGCTTTTAAAACCCGATAGTGTCTAACACTGACAAATGGGAGAATGAAGCGCGAAAAAAAGGAGAAGCTGAAAAAAGGAGAAGCCGAAAAAAAAGGAGCACATTATTTCTTTAGCAAACGTAAACAAACTGCCTTGTTTTAATTTTTATCATCACTTTCTGGACTAATATGAACTGGGAATGATGAAATTACTCTATATGTGCTGCTGAAGATTACAGACACAGATAAGAGGTTGTCACTGACTTTGGGCTATATTTTGTGTTGTTTTGAACCCAACCAAGGACGAAATGTCGGCTGTGTGTAGTTTTTCTATAGCTGGTAACATATCGGAGACTGTAAGGGTGTTCATATATGTTCATTTATTTATTTATTTAACATATTTACAGACGTTACAGTAGGATATTTCGCGCTGTCAATGATCTGCAGTTATGATCAAATCATGTTCATAGAAAAGTTAGTAATAAACATTTATACACAAGTATTTATGTGTGTAAAGCATCTAGTTTTGCGAGACGTGCTTCTCATATTATATGTAAGCGACTTGTACAGCTTTATTGTAGACAATTCCTGGGGCGAGAATGATCTAACTGAAACTTTCTGTCATACATCACGACAACCAAAAGGGTACCCTTGGTAGTGGAAACGCAAGCCTGATAAAGGTGACCCGTACCGACCCGAACCGTATCGTACTGTACCAGTCAGTGGAAACGAGTTATTTGTTTTTTACATAATTGACCCATCACTATACCCCGCCCTCCTCAGTTACTGTTGTTATGCCTGCCAAGCTATCAGGCCTGGCACCTCTATTACAGTATGTTTTTACCAGTGTAGACATGCCTAAGGAGGTAATTACTCATTTTTGGTGAGCAGGTAAGATATCCGAGAGAGTAAGACAAAAAGGACTTCAGTATGCAATAGAGAAGTATATCCATGGCATAATATGCAACCAATTAGAAAATTGTTTAATCAAAATTGAACCTAAAGCTTAAGTCACAGCGCAAGCAGCAGCCGCCTCATATACATAGACCATTCAACAGCTTTGTTCGTACACAGCAGGGTAAATGAAATTTGAGAATAATCTAATTATTATATATTAAACCGTGATTTCTCTTTCTTCACCCAAAAAGCTGGATACGAAAATGCTGTGCAATAAAATATAACATTACTAACCAACGAGACGACCAGGATGAACTGCGCTTCTACAGAATTAATTCAAAGAAAAAACAGTAAGGGGAAATGTATGGATTTGTGCCTAATGGTAGCATCATTGACCCCTAAAAAGCTACAGTACATATTGTAATGAGTAGGGGTTGACAAAAGAGGTGAGGATCCACGTGCCGCTTTATAAACTGAAGAGTCAATACACTTCACCCACAGCTTTTTTCTGTCATTTAAAGATGTCATATTTATGTCAGAGCTCCAATTAGTTGATGTTTACATCTATATTCGTCAGGCATTAAAGCACATAATTGTCAGTGTTGATTAGTGTTGGTTATTTTGCATAGATATTTGCTGGTAGGAAAAATCTGTTCTTTCAACTCTATTTATACTTTGACTGCATTTTAATTTATAATTTAATTCCTCTTAACTACAAATCAGAAGAAAAAAAATCTTTATAAAAAGCATACAAACATTTTGACAAGTAAAAGTGTTGTAATCACCAGCAGTGTTACTCTTGCTGGCTGCAGGAGAACACTGACATTCAACTGCACTACAGATCCCATTATGTACTTCACTTACACACCTGGCCCAGATCACCCTTGATTTCAAACACAGAGCTGAAGCTAAATGACCAAAACAATATTTCAATTGTTTTACAAGGTGGTCAGCTGGCAGGTTTTTCCATTCGCACACATTTTTATCATCATGTGATCTTATAACAAAATCACATGACCTTTTTTTAATGTACATTCTGGAATCCATAACTATTAGATTATTTTCAAATTTCCGTCACTCTGCTGTGTATGAACAAAGCTGCTGAATGGTCAATGTATATGAGGCGGCTGCTGCTTGCGCTGTGACTTAAGCTTGCAGGTAATCCATAGTCAGAAAAACGAGCAGCAAAAAAACATAAACAATAAACAAAGCAAAGGCCAAAAATACAAAAGGCAAGAGCTAGGATGACACTTCAGTCATGCTCGCATATCACATGACTCACCAGCAATGTGTGTGTGCGTGTGCTTAAGGTCCTGGGTAGTCCTGAACAGCTTCAGTTGAGTGTGTTTGCAAACAAGAGGGATATGTGACAGGTGTGTGAGTAAAGTGCATGATGGGATCTGTAGTGCAGTTGAATGCGAGTGTTCTCCAACAGCCTGCAACAGCAACACTGCTGGTGATCACAACACCTATAACTGTCAGAATGTTTGTGTGCTTTTTAATAAAGTTTCTCCTCTAATTTGTAGTTGAGAGAAATTAAAGTATAAATTGAAATGCAAAGTCAAAGTTTAAATAGTACAGTTAAAAGAATAGATTTTCCTTACCTGCAAATATATATGCAAAAGACCCAACACAGGCAATTATGTGCTATAATGCATTACTATTGACTAAATTTCTGATGAATGTAGATGTACACATCACCTAATTGGAGCTCTGACATAAACATGAGTTTTAAATGACTGGAAAAAAAAATCTGTGGGTGTAATAAAATTAAATGAAGAAAGAAGGGTTTAAAAAGACATGGAAAGCCAAAACAGCAGCTAAAACCTCTCCGCATTTAGAAAGCAACCCTGTCAGACGTCAGAGATGTCAGAGTAAATTAATACTATCTGCTTGTCCCAATACCTACATTACCAGGAGGATGAAGATGAAACCACGGTGGACATTTCAGCATTACAACAAACACAGCCAAGGAAACTGAAAATAATAAATAAAGCTGCTAGAATGGCATAGAGCAGGGGTGTTCAAGCTCTTTTCTGGAGGGCCAGTGTCCTGGAGAGTTTAGCACCAACCCTAATCAAACACACCTCCACCAGCTAATTATGATCTTACTAGATATACTAGAAACTTCCCGGTAGGTGTGTTGAAGCAAGTTGGAGCTAAACTCAGCAGGACACAGGCCCTCTAGGACCGAGTTTGGACACCCCTGGCCTAGATATTCACCTGACCTAAATCTAATAGGTAATAAATAAAGTTTAGAGTTCATAGACAAGACCTACAAAACCAATCAAGACTTTTAGACTTTGTTAAAGTCTAGAAAAAAATCTAATAAAATCACACCTGGATAAATCTGTTCGAAATAAAAGCACTCTCAGGAATGTCTACACCTAAGCCCACCTTTAACCAATAGTGTGTGTGGGTCTGAGTGTGCATGTGCAATTCTGCAGCCAGACACCATAGAGTTCAACATGTATTTGAAAGCTTCTTCAAACTTTTTGGTCTGCTTATATAGGGCTTTAGCATGGGGTAAAAGCAAAGGTGGAGTTTGCCAGGTAAATTGTCGGGTAAAGTGCAATGCAGTTGTGCACAAACATAAAGGATTTGCACAAAAACTAACAAAAAAAATAAAAAAATAAAATAAAAAAAATAAAAGAGTAGGCAGTACTGGTCAGTCGAACATACCAGTGCTCTCTTGAGCATTTGGACTGAGGAGAAAGTTTGACAGCTGAAACAAGGCTATCCTCTGCTGAAACAAGGATGTTATGAAACACAGTTACCAAGTGTGGTGTGCTACAGAGTTAATGTACAAGTAGAGCAAAAGTTGAAAAAGTTATGGGCACAACTGAAAGCCATTACGAGTCACAATGGTCAGAGTGGTGCTCACAGAAAAAAAAATAATACAAATAAAAAAAAAAAATCATGCTGTTTGATATTATAGAAGGTGTGCCGCGTCACCACCCCTCCATTAGGGAAGAGACACTTAAGACACAATGCCAACTAACATTACAGTCATAGAATAAATGAAGTAATGAACTAAAACACATTTGTGTGTGCTAAATATAATTTGATCCTTATGATATGATGCGGTGGATCTGATCATAAGTAGAGATGATCAGATCCACTACTTCTGATCATCAGAAGTAGTGGATGATCAGGTTCTTCTGAGTGTGCCAGTTTAGGCTCAGTTTAAAACACAGTTCAGATGTTTTTACTATAATGTGTTAATAAGTGTCATGTTGGGGGCGTGTACAAAGCTTGCTGTTTTAGGGGTGTGTTGCTTCACATGAAAATTAGTTTCGGCTTCCCGCCCAACGTAACAAAGGGGCGGAGCCAAGAGCTCCCCTGCCTTGTGTTTGCAACAGACAGGTAGACCAAGATAGAAGCTTAGCTACATGAGAGGTTAAGCATTCAGCTGTATATGTATGACTCGGACACAGACCAAGCAGAGAGTACAAAATCATTTCTGTCTTTGTAAAGTTTTACAGCCAACTGTGTGCGAGTTTCAAGTGCCGAGCATGTACACCGAGACTAATAACCATGCACACTGAGTTAACTTTGACTGAGGTACCGCATGCGCCACGACACGGCACACCATACACTCTCAGTGGCGAGGTAGAAACATGAAGTGTCCCGAATCGTCGCGCCACGCAGTGCCATGCATTCCAGAACTCCAAA